TTGAAATTTAACACTAAAACATTGTGTAAACTCATATTGATTCATACGATTAAATCTAAGTGTTAACGAATTTCATTTTGGTATACATTTATCATTTATGGTAAATGTCAATAGTGCTCGTGACCTAAAGCCTGACGGGTTCGATATTTTTTTAGCTGCAATGGAATAGCCCCTTCGTAGATCAGAGACATGTTTTTCTGAAATTTTGTGTTCACTGTCTACCGCATTCTACACATTTTTCAGACGATTATAAAAAAAAACAGCTACAAAGCATTTTTAGTATACTAATAAAACTAACTTTCATGTATTTCTAATTTTTTGATTAAATAAATAATTTAATCAAAACTATTGTTTCATTTAGTTCGAGTACAATACAAATGCCATTACAATTAGATGGTGTATCTGATCCCGTAGAAGTTACTGCAAAATCTCCAACTCGAACATTAAGAAACCGTGATTTATCTACATCATCTGAACGAGGAACTTCAAATAGTGAAAATCGAAGTTCACCTACGAAAAGTCGTCTAGATAAATCAACTAGTGATCCAACAGGTTCATCTCAAAACGGTATTGGAAAAAAACGTCATGATTCTCTAAATCATAATAATAATAACAATAATAAGCATACATCTTATAAACGACGTTTATCTGAAAATAACATTGAATTAAGTTCTTCAATCAATGGTCATCGTTCAAATTCTATATCATCAAGTATTCAAAAACCAAAAGTTATTCAATCACCTACTCAATCCAACGTTGATCATGAAACAAGTTCATCATCAGAATCTATACCTTCGAAATTAACTACACACAATTCATCAGATAAACCTATTCGAGAAGCAAAAAAACGTTCATTAATTTATACTGGTAATACACGAGAATTTCTAGAAACAGCTATAGCAGCTGGTATTATTGATGATAATGGTGATGAAGAAGATGAAGATCATGAATATATACCACCGGATGGTACAGTTAACTTACCTCTTCAACGTTTATCATCATCATCATCATCCGACAATGAAGATGAATCAATAAAAAATAGTGATGATAGTGGTAGTAGTAGTAATACTGATCACGATGATGAAGATGAGGATGAAAAAAATAGTGGTGATGAAATGGTTATAAATGAAGAACCAAGTGAAAGTGGAATTAATTGGAATGTACGAAATCGACCTCAACGACACACACATCTTATTCGTTTTGATAATATATCACAACAAGATGGTAAAAAAAAGCACTTACAATTCTTTTTGTCTTATTTTTCATCTGTCTTTTTTTAAGAACAACAATTTTTTGGAGCATTACAAGAACAAGTTCCTGAATTAGCTGCTTATTTAAATGAAAATTCTGATGATGAATATGAAATAAAAACACATGATACATCTAATAATCAAACAAAATCTCGAAAATCATCAACAAAAAAAACTCAACGTAATTCAAATAAACAGAATTCTGAACAAGATGAACAAACAGTTGAAATAATGAAAAAATTTCGTCATGTTAATGTAGCATCAGAAAAATCAACAAAGAAAAAATCTCATTCAAATGAATCAACAACAATATCAATTAAAAATCGTTCAGATGAATTATATGTTATTCTTAATAATAGTTCAACACGTACTATTATGTCAGGTGCACATCTTGATACAACAAATAATACAAAAAAAAATTCAACTATACAAGCATTTAATTTTCATCGACGACAAATTAAAATGAATACAGTTGAAGATACAAAAGCACAATGGCGATGTCTTTTATGTTGGAAAGAACCATATGAAGAATATCTTGGCCCTTTATATGGTCCATTTCAATTAAATGAACAATGTCGAACATATCTTAATAATAGTTAGTAATCAATTATATATTTTATTAAGAATATTTAAAATATAAGATTTCATTTTTTTTCTAGATAAACAATTAGCAAAACATTATAAAAAATTAATTGAAGTTTGGTTACATCGTGATTGTGCATTATGGAATAATCATATACAAATGAATCCAACAACAGGAGAACTTATGCATGTTTCTGATGCATGTTCAACTTATCTTGATATTGTAAGTACATGAACAAAACCTCAAGACACAATCCTGGCGAGAATAAATTGTTAAACATGATGCACTTGTTGTTGTCACTGGCACGGACATTATTTCATTCATTCTGTTTCAGGATACATTCCTTCAGACATATTTTGATTTATTCCTTCAGAAATACAATAAGGATATAGTTCACATTTTATAATGAGACGTTAACCATATACGGTCTATGATCGTATATCAACAATGTCTGTGATCAACTGCTTTCTGGCTTGTGAATGTTTCTCATTTTTGATGTTTTTATTGCGAAGTTCAGCGGTGACAGAACTCATCAAATTAGAATTGGAGAGTTTTATAATGTACTTGCTGTTCTTCATTATCCTAGGTCAAAATCACTTCGTATAATTCTATCGGAATCGACTGAGAAAATCCTATTTTGCCTGCAATGCCACCAACGTCAGATATGATGCATCTAAATTTTGCCAGGTTCAACGAGTTTTCCAATAGGATCGAAGAATTGAATTACTGACCTTGGAATAGCTATCTTTTGTACGATCTTTTATAAACAACAAATTTCTGCTGAGAACTATCTCTTCAGCAGTACTAACGTAAAATTCTAGTCTATTATCAAAATTTAGATCTATTATAGCAGCTCAATGTTAGTATATTTGAGCTCATGTGAATAATTTTTCTTTGATAGTTGAATGTTGTATTATTTAAGATTTGTATTTGATTATATTGTAACAAATGCAGTCTGCAAAACGAAAGAAATACGATAAAAAATTGGTCACTGAATAGCAGTCTTGTCTAGAATGATTTTACTTATGAGACATATAGTGAATTAAGAACATATGCATTGTGCTCTCATTTTATTTTTCAGTACTCTGTTTTTTTTCTCTGAAAGTAAGTTTTAATGGTTTTTTACAATTCTGATGGAGATAGAAAAACTTATTCATGGAATCATAAAATTATGTTTGACTTTGGCGGGTTTTGCAATAGAATTGTTTAGATATTTAATAAATTCGATAGCAATTTCATTGTTATATGTTACAGAAGAATAGTTGAATCTCACTAGGGAGAACTTGATCTACCCTATTTAGTATGTAGCATTGTTCTCTTTTGTGAATACAATAATTAAATAAGGATTGGTCAAAAATTCTCATGAATATCTTGTTTCATCATCTTCAGGCTAGGAATATATTTACCATTATTTTAACAGTGACTATCCTAATAATTTTACACGCTTCATGTTTAAGCTATTGATTTCTTTTAAGAATTCAGTTGAATTTCTATTGAGATACAACGTATAATATTGCGTTGAACTTTCAGAAAACCCAAGATACTTCTACTCTTGATGCAAACTGTGAGCGTCTAGTTCTACTCCTAAGACACTTCCATATCTGAGATACTAAAATAGCATCTGTATGATGAAAAACAAGATCCGTATTTCCTTCTTCGTTTTTGAGAGCTATCCTTCAAAATATGTTTTTGTACATTCTCCTGTTTCTCAATTGTTTGTTTACATATCAGGCTGCTCTTCACATGTCATTATGTTGAGGAATATACAGATTTCTCGAACATGATGTCAAAGATGACATTTTGTTCCTTATTAAGGATCTAGTTTCTATGGATTGCTTATATCACTCTTGATTAATTTTTTTGGTCTATTCAAAACTGTAGTCAAAATTCATAATATACACAACAAATTTCAAAAGTGATTGAAAATTCGTATTTTTTTAGTGTTTGTTTGTTGACAAATTCTAAATAATTTTGAGATACATGTGTTGAACTAGATAAAATCTAAGAATAACTTCGAAAAATTCATTCAAATTCGATCATGACTGGTATGAAGAACCGCGACGAGCTCAGTGATTCTTAATAGTGCAAAAATTCTAAACTTCGCTTAGAAATTCAAGGAATTGATTCATTCCTGCTTACAAAAAAACTCGTTCAGTATTGAGAATTATTAAATTCCTAATGATTCGTCGTGCTGATTATAATCAGTTTCCAACGCTCTTTCCTAAGTTTATCTTAGGCTTAGTTTAATATAAAATACAGATCTCAAAATGTTTTGGAATGGATCAAAAGAAAAAATTGTTAATTGCAAATTTTTCTTCAATTACGATTGCAGCTTTCGATAGAGTAAAGGAAACTGATCATAGTTGATATCAACAATCTACAAGAATTACATTCTTAATAAAGTAAAAATGTCACCTTTAATAGCATGTTCTAGAAATTGGTGCATCGCTACTTACATCTGTTGGAGATCCGAGTCTGTTAAATTTAAAATTTTTGGACTCGATTAACAAAAAAATTAAACTTTAACCCGACGGTCTCTCATAGGGTGGGTTCAAAGTTCTATCCCTTTTACTTCAACACTTTTATTAGATCTTGCTTTATAGTCATTCTATGTCTTGTTTTTTGTTTTAGACATGTTCCATATGCCAAATACCTGGTGCAGCTCTTGCATGTCGTTATCGAAATTGTAAAATTCGTTATCATTATCCTTGTGCAAAAACAACTCGTATGATATAAATCTTTGCTAATTAATTTTTGTTTTTGTTTTTGTTTTCTTTCTATAGTTAATTGTCGATTAGTTGAAGAAAGTTATTCAGTTTATTGTCCAAAACATAATCAAGTAAAATAGATGAAAAAAAATATTTTTCTTTATAATGAATAATTATGAATTTATTTTATAGATAAATAATAATAAATCGAAAAGAAATCGCCGTAAAACAACAACAAGTGCAAATGATTCCCAAGAATTATTAATGACTTAGTTTATTTATGTTTGTCTATCTGAAATCAATGTGTATCTATGGTTCTTTTTTGTCTTTTTCGTTTTTGCTGTATGTTTGTTTTCGTGTTGAAAAGTTTTTGAAAACAAAAAAAAAAAATATCAATACAAAAGCCCTTGAAATTTAATGTATACATCAAATTTTCTTTGAAAATACTATATATTTAAGATGGAAGATAATGATAAAAAAGATGAGCACAAAGAATCACCCCTTATTCAAAACTGCAAATGGGGATATATGAAAATCAAAGGATTTCCTCCTGGCAAAGATTTTAAACTTTTTCCAGGGGGTAAGATTTGATTTGATATATTTGATTGCATATTTAATTATCTATTTGATATTTAAGGCGCTGAAGAATGGGATTGGAATAAAACAAATACTCGTCATGTTCCAGGCATTCAACAAACAGATGTTGAAGATTTAATAGAAAAAGGAGCAAAATATATTGTATTATCAAAAGGCATGCGAAATCAACTAGAAACATCTAAAGAAACAAAAGACTTTCTTGAGGAAAAAAATATGAAATTAGATGTTGATTATTTTATTGAAACAACTCCAGAAGCATGTAAACGTTATAATCAGTTGGTTGAGGAAAACAAACCTGTTGGTGCATTATTACATTCAACATGTTAATCTCTCTTTATTTTTTTTTGTTTCATCTTTTATGTCAATAAAAATGGCTTTTTAAATAAGAATAATCTGGATCTAACTAAGCTATCGATGAAAAAGCTAATTGATATATATTTATATTCCCATGGCGAATGATCCATTTGTTCGACTCTATCATAAAAATTTGCAGTTTCTGTTGAATTTCGAACTAATCGATGATTTTTGTGATACCAAAAAAAAAGTCAACGATCATATATAGTGATTAGAGCAGTTAGAAATGTCGAATTTTCATGTTAAAAATTCAAAAAACTTGAGAATAACTTCTGCTGAAATTTATTAGAATCCGAATGGAACGAGTCTGTTCTGTGTTTTCTTTTTTTTTCTCTTTTGTCACTCATCGAAGGAGCAGACTTATCATTAATGTCATGCACATACTCATACAAACATATTCACATTTTTTGTTCATGTGAGAATGATAGTATTCATTTGGGAATTATATATATAAGAGTCGTTCTGTCGCTTTGTTTCATCTGTCGAACAGTAGTCAATGCTTTGTGCTTAGTTTTAATCAAAAGATTTTTCTCAAACAAAATTAGATTCTCTCTCTATATATAAAAATATTGACGAGAATGACACGTTTTCCAAGAAGTTTATTGTCAATATTTTTCTTTCCGCTTTTTTTCCTTTCATTTTTTATTATATATCTGGTAGACAGTGCCAATCGTTTATTCTCTAGTGATTTTCACGACGATACAGCATAACGAATTGAGATGAGTGCAGATCGAAATAAATACTAAAAAAACTGACAAATTAATAACACTGTTCCATATTACTGTTTTGTGTACATAAAAACATTAACTTTCATCAGATGTACTACTTTGATCTATATGTTCATCAAAAACGAACTAAGGTAATTTCTTTATTTAAGTACTATTTAATGACCCATGTAACCGTATTTATTTTTAATGAATTACTACCAATCATTTCGATATATAATATAAGCAAATCTAGTAGGAAATTTCTGTTTGTTGAAAGACATTCAAGTAGACTATTGACTATTAACATCATCATCATCACTTAGTGAAGCATCACCATTTCATATGTTTACGACGAAAAGCAATGAGAAAACAGTTTATAAGATTGCTTATTTGGAATAGAGTTATAAACAGTAGTTTGTCATTCATTATTTGAGTTCTTATTTCTTTTTCTCGTTCCATCTTTCTATTTCTCTGTCACATCTACACAAATCCTGAGTGATAATGCAAATAACTTATTTCTTTGTGTATGCGTAGCCGTTGAGAAAAAAATCCGACTTGTGTCAAGTGTATGTGTGAACAAAAACGTTTCAAATATCATTAAGGCAACTGAATGAACCATTTAATAGAAAAAGAAAAAAAAAATGAGGGCAACTATATAAGAACGGCATTCTTGATTTATTCTTTTTTATAAAAAGTCTATGAACGAATTAGATTTATCTTTACGATGTATGAATAATGTCAAGAACAAGAAGTAACATCGAACTAAGTAGATTCATTGTAAATTGGTTTTTATCCTTATGAGAAGCTTCTATCTACGCTCTCATTTTTTTTCTCTCTGTATTAGTTGAAGGAAAAAGCGCATAAAATATTCACTTGTCTAGAACACAAATCATGTCGGTCTAATCTTTCGCTTGGTTTATCTATCATCACATTTGGTGTCAATCATAATGTATGATAGGATGGGTGGTAATCTACTCTATCGTACAATAAATGACAAACAAGCATTGCTAATGAGAACAAGTGAGAATGATATAGATAGAGTGCCACATGTCTCTAGGCATCTCTATATGAAATAATAACCTAGAGGTTTTTTAATCAAAAGTCTTAGTCCTAAAAGTAATTCTCATAGAAATGTCTGTCTTTTATTTAGATAGAAATATAATAGAGATAGTACTTTTTTCATGTTTATTATAATAAAATAATACTTCTTCTTTTTGTTTTTTTTCTCTTAACGTTCTAACAATAGCGATTACTGTTATTTTTTTGAAGACATTTACCGTTTGACACTTGAATAATATATGAATAGAAAATATGTCGCCCTATTTCGATTGTCTATGTTAGTGTTCGTAAACCGATATCCGTTAGTTTTTTTTTTTTCTTTTCATTTTTTACTACCACTACTGTTGTTATTTAATCAAACAAACAAAACATCAATGAACGGAAGACAAATAAAATATAAGACTATGAGAACAAAATCGATCCGTTGCACGCACAATCTCATCGATTTTTATTTATATTGATCTTTTGCTTATTAGCATAGCTAAAAGAACTTTAATATGTTCTAGACAACTGGATATGATAGATATAGATGTGCTACATATTTTCCTTTTTTTTTTCTTTTTTGTTCTCTACGTCTTAATGTCCTTGATAATGATGCTCGCATGAAAACGAGTGATTTATACTCATTGATAGATCTGATAAGTATATATAAAGAATAAGAATGAAAGAACACTTGTTATTATCTTCAAACTATCTGAATAATTCTTTTAGTTAGATATTATATCTTCTATATACATCTATATAGAACAATCACAATCGACTGAATTGTTTTTCACGTAAGGTAAATATAATTTATTAAAAGTAGGAAGAATCAATATTTATTATTTGCTTTCTTCCAATCTTTTTAGCCATCAATTATATTTTATTTTGCAAATTTGGTTCCATTTCAACATTTTTTATTGCATATTCTGACGTGTTCGATACTCGAATAAGTAATATGTATATATCTATATATATAAATTGACTTTCATACTATGATGAACTTAAATGGATTCAATTACATTTTCATTATTAACAAGCAGTATTAATCCATTACATTCTCCTAAAATTTCTACTACTACGTCACTAACCTTATCACCATCATCATCATCAGTAACAACAACAACACTAAATGGAACAGTCAGTGCAGCTGAACTAACAAAAACACTTATACCAGAAAAATATCAAATAATTTTATTAAGTTTTGCATATGGTATTATATCTTTACTTGCTGTCGTTGGTAATACATGTATTGTTTATATTGTCCTACGCAATCGACGAATGCATTCGGTAACAAATTATTTTATATGCAATTTAGCTCTAGCTGATTGTCTTGTTGCTTGTTTTGCTGTACCATTCCAAGTACGTCATTTTCTCTTAATGATCAAACACATTGAGAAATACATATATATATACTTTTTTTCTTTTAGTTTCAAGCAGCAGCTCTTCAAAAATGGGTTTTACCTCATTTTCTTTGCAAATTAGCACCATTCGTTCAAGTACTTTCAGTTGACGTATCAATATATACACTCGTAGCTGTTTCGATTGATCGTTATCATGTTATGTTACATCCATTAAAACCGAAATTATCAACAAAAAGTGCATGTATTATATTTATTATAATCTGGCTTGTTGCATTGGGATCATCAATACCTAGTCTTATATTTTATAATGTTCATTATACTGAGGATATTGGTTATCAATGTTTACCAAATACATCTGAACAACACCTACACTCAAACTCTAATTCAACAACTAGTTCTTATGATATAAATAAGATTTATATTGTTTACAATATATATTCACAATATATAATACCATTTATAATAATAAGTTATGCTTATTTTCGTATAGCAGCACATTTATATTTTTCAAAACCCGTTGGACAAACAAAACATCAAGAAGTTATTGCTCGCAATAAACGTAAAGTAAGATTACTAAAACTAGTCTTGGCATAAATGCGAAAAAAAACGAGAATAAAGAGTAAAAATAGCAGCTGCATATTTTTTAATAGAATATAGAAGGTGATCATGCTGAGACAATCTTTACTAGATAGCATTGTAGATTAGGAGAATTAATACTTTATTAACATAGATAAGTATATAATATATTAATTCAGATTTTTAATTAAGATCAAATATTTTTTTTTTTAGGTATTGAAAATGTTGTTTCTTGTTGTTGCTTTATTTTTAATTTGTTGGTTTCCATTACAACTTTATAATTTTCTTAATGTTTATAAACCAGAAATAAATGAGTATGTTATTTCCTTTTTTTTGTAATACATATATGAATCAAATATCAATCTTTTATTATTCTTTAGTTTTCAACATATTGTAGTTTTATGGTTATGTGCTAATTGGCTTGCTATGTCTAATTCATGTCACAATCCATTTATTTATGGTTTCTGTAGTGTATGCTTTTTTAAATTTATTTTGATACTTTTTTTGTTTATATACTTTTTTTCTAATAGGTAAAATTTAATCGAGAGTTTCGTAAACTTTTTTCATGTTTTCCTTGCATTGATGCTACTCAATTAGATACTGATTTACCAAATAAAAAACGTGTACATGTACCATTAACAACTCAACATCGATCAACAGCATTACATTTACAACGTTCAAATTGTCAACGTCGTTCACCTAATTCTTCACCAAATTTATTGCAAGCACAACAATGGTCTCATAAACATACAACAAATAATCAAGTTTTATCAACAACAAAAGGACATCGTAATGGAAAACATTATAATTTTTTTTCAAATAATAATACCAATGATCATCATCATCCTGCATTATTTGGTAATAATAACTATTACAGTAGAAAAATGGATCGGTCAATAACTAATTGTGAAAAATTTTTACCCGATCATGATTTAATTAATTCTACAAAAGAAAACGACCTTTTATTAATTCATGCACGACAATCGACACGCTTCTTGTAATTTTTTCTCGTCTTCTCCTTTGTTCATTGTACATTGAAAAACATGTGATAAAAAGCAAAGTTTTAATTAAAATTAGAAAAAAAAAGAAAACATGTTTTTAATAAATAAATCGAACAATAATGAAAACAATAAACGTGATACTCATAATTCAAGTTGTACGTTAGATATCGACAGTTATTGATTTTGACATTTGTAACTACTTGCTATTATTTTGATTAGGTATTGTACTCATTCAAGCAAAGATCACGAATATTTTCTTTTACTTTACCCCACACCAATCATCACATACAACGTCATGCATAGGTGATGACCGATTTATTGTTTATTCGTATTATTTGATTTTTTTTCTTCCAATAAAAAAAACCCTTTTCTATGTGGTTTGGCGGTCGATGTCTAGGACGTAGTGAGTTACCAGCTTGATTTACACTGATACCTTTTTTTAACCAATACGTGATAGTGCTGAAAAAATATCGAAATATTACAGCAAAAAAGAAAAGAGAGAGAAAAGAGACAAGAGATACATAATAAATCGCATGCATCATTAAGCAACCATGTTATCAAGGTACTTGGGTGAGAAGGTGAAAAAAAGAGGGTAAGAGAGAGAGAAAGAGAGAGTGAGGGTAGGCAATCTTCACTAGTATATAAACAGTAGTCTTTCCTTAGTATTTCACTAACCATCTTCCTCTCTCAACAACATATACCGATACAAATATGACTAACTACGAATATTCGTCATACTCATCATCAGCCGGTGGTGCTGCTGGTGGACTCGATGCTTCAGGAGCAGCTTTCTCCAACGTTGATGCCAACAAAGATGGCTCAATCGATCGAGCTGAATTTGCCAACTGGCTCGGTGGTGCTGCTGGCGGTGCTGGCGGTGCTGGTGGTGCTGCATTCGGTGTAGGTTTAGGAGGAGCTGGTGGTAGTTATGAATCGTCATCGTTCGGATCATCAAACTATTCCACAGGAGGTGCTCTTGGTGTTGATGCCGGTCTTGTCGGTCTTGGTGGTCTTGGTGGTCTCGGAGGCGCTTCTTATGAATCAGCAACCTATTCATCAGGTGCTGGTCTTGATCTTGGCCTTGCTGGTGGTGCTGGTGGTGCTGGTGGCTTTCAAACAGCAACATATGAAGCAGGTGCTGGTGGTGGTTATGATGTTTCAGCCGTTAACCAAGCAGCTAGCTATACAGCTGAAACCAATGCTGCCTGGTCACGATATGGTGCCGAGGTACGTGGTGCTGGTCTCTATGTTGATGCCAATCCACAAATCATTCGACGACAAGCACCAGGTGGTGTTCAAACCTACACACAAAACATCCGAGTTCGCTTTCTCCAACCACCACCTGTTCCACCTCCAGGCGTAAGTTATATTTATTATAGTTTTTTTTTCAATAATCATTTTATTCTTGCAGCCACTCATCATCAGAGAAGTGCGCCCACCTCAACCACCACTTCCACCCCCACTTCGCATCAGACAACAAGCACCACCTCTTCCACAACCTCCTCCACTCGTTCTTCGTGAAAGACCACCACAACCACCAGCTGCTGTTGCTTCACAAACAGTTATCAAACGACTTGCTGCTTTACCTGTACCTCCACGATCAGTTATCATTGAACGTCTTCCAGCAGCTCCACCCCGACCACGTAAGTGAATTTTTTTCTAATTATATTATTTCCTTTCACTAGTTTTACTTTTTCTTTTTATATTACAGGTGATATCATCATCGAACGTTGGATTCCATATGGTCCTGCTCCCAAACGACAAACCGTTGTTCAAAGAGCTGCATCAGCCAGAGGATATCCTGCACCACGTAATGTTATCATTCAATACGAACAAGCTCCAGTTCGTGTTGTTCGACAATTCGTACGATTGGGTGTTACACAAGAAAGCCCAGCTCTTTATGTTCAACGATATGGCGCTGCTCTACTCGATGCTCAAAGTCTTCTTGCACAAGCTCGTGCTGCTGGTGTTGTTGAAGACATCGTAAGTATAAGCATATTTTTTGTTGTAATATGTTGTATATTAATTAAAATGTTTTCTTTCTCGTATTTGTTTAGTCTCCTCCTGCTGGTGCTGTAGTTGGTTATACCGCATCATCATTTGGCTCAGATGCATCCCTCCTTGCCGGTGGTGGTGCTGGTGGAGCTGAATTTGTTAATGTAGCTGGTGGAGATTTAGGTGGTGCTTCATCATCATTCTCATCAAGCACCTTCGAATCATCCGCAGCCGGTGGACTCGGTAAGTGTATTATTTCATTTTCTTTTTGATTTATTATTTTTTGATATATGATAGGTGGTCTCGTTGGTGGTGGATTAGAAGCTACATATGTTGGAGGAGCTGGTGCAGGTTTAGCCGGAGGAGCTGGTTTAGGTGTCGCCGGAGGACTTGGTGGTGGCTATTCATCAAGCTATGAATCATCATATTTATCAGGTGCTGGTGGTGCTGAAGGATATGGTGTTGGTCTTGGCGTTGGTGGTGTTGGTCTTGGCGTTGGTGGTGCTGGTCTTGGCGTTGGTGGTACTGGTGCTGGTTTTGATGTTGCTGCTGCAAGTTTCAATAGCGCCGATATAAACAAGGATGGACGTCTTGATGCTGGTGAATTCCAAAAATTCGTTCAAGGCGGTTTATAAAAGACTAATCCTTTCCTTTTTCCAACATCTTCCTCTTTTTCTACTATTTTAGTTTAAGGATACATTTTTTACCTAATTGCTTTTTTCTTATGTGATATTGTTTCATTTCGATTCATAGTTTCTCCCGGTTTTTTTAATACTGTCAAGAAAGATAGCAATTAAAATAAAATATCATATATTGTAAAAGTATCTCTTTTATTAGAACTATCATTGTTGTGTCACTACGTTGTTCGACATTGTATCCACAAAATAGTGTGTTTACACCTTAGTGTTATCAGCCATAGAATGATCCTAGATAAGTCACTAATAGTTGTTTGCCTCCGATAACGCGTCCAATAGCATGCTGATTACTTTGTGACACAAAAGTGCTCTTGTGTTTAGTATGTGATTAGCTAGTGCGTATAAAGTATTCAAACAGTAGAGTATAAGAAGTTTACGTCAATCTGGCTTTTTATTCAGAGCTGCAGCTATTAGTAGTCGCATGGAAGATAATAAACTACTGATTTTATCACTAGACATCACCCTATACCGCAAGGTAGCTGAAAAAGCAATGGTTTTTTTCTTCTTGCTCATTTATTAATAGATGTGTGTATTCATTCAAATATATATTAAAAACGCATGTTCAAGGTTAATTATTATTTTTAATGATATATAATTTTCATTTGGTATACAATCACCTTGAAAATGCATAGACATATACAAGAAGCAAGAACGATCTAATGATAATAATCTTAGAATTACGTAGACATTTGTTAATGAGAACACGCTTGAAATGTATTAATATTATAAATGACTGACAGGGAAAATAAATAAACGACAGAAAAACAAGATAGGTCATCAATTTATTTACCTGTTAATAAAGACAAGTAACAGGTATGCTTATAGTAAAAAAGAAATAGTCAAACGACAAAAAGAAAATGAAATGACATACATCAAATTATATTTATCGATATTTTTTTTGACATTTTCTTTATATCAAACCCAATCATAGCTTCAAAATGCACGCAAAAAATGTATATAGTAAAATATACATATGTATTTTTTTTCTTTATTGATTTTAAATAAGTACAAGTGAACTTCGAAGTTTTTCAACTTCTTTATCTAGTTTTTCTTCTGTAGCTTTAATTCGTCCTTCTGTTACTCGTTGTAGTGCTTTAACTGAACCTTCAAGTGACTCAAAACAAGTTCGCATTTCTTTTTTAACTTTTTCTAAATTAGCCACTGTTCGTTGATATTTATCATCAAAACGTTTATAAACAGCTTGTTCAATAGACTAAAAATACAAATAATAGTTAACAAAAACAAAACCAAAGAAACAATATTTTTTTTTATGAAAAACTTTACTTCATTATTTCGATTTAAATCTGATGTAGCTCGTTTATAATGATCGTCTAAAGAAGCACTTTTACGTTCAAATTGATAAATAGCATCTTCAATACGTTTCTCAAATCTTTCCTAGATATATAAACAAGAGAAAAATATACATATATTGTTTTTCTTTTTCTTAATAAAATATTTTACATATTTTTCTAACGATCGTTTAATTTCATCAAGTTTTTGATTGATTCGTTGTTCAGCTCGTTCACGTTCACTATTTTCTTGACTTTTAAGCTGAAATATTTGACTACGAAGTTCATCAACAAATGCACGTGATCGTGTATCAGCTGTTGATAATGCTCGTGTTGTATCAGATTCGAACGTACGTAAAACAACTTGTTGTTCACTAAATATTCGATCAATGCGTTGACCTAATGTTGAAATCTATGAAAAAAAATTTCAAACTTTGAAATAGAAAACACATACATACAAATAATTAAATGTTTTATATCAATTACTCAAACATTGTATTTTGAATAGATGAGAATTACATCTATATATGTATCTTTGTTTTTTTCTTGAAATTCAATCATTATTTAGTAGATAGATTTTTCTTGTGTGAAACTTCAATGTTTTTAGGTGTTTTTTTTTTAAAATGATTTTCTTTTGATGAATGTTGTCAAAAATTTGACATATTTACAAGACAAATATCAGAAGAATAATTTTTCATGTAAAAGAAACACAATTCTTTTCGGTGAAATAAAATTTTTTATTCATATTGAAACTCAAAATATTTTCATCATTAGCTATTTCAATCAATATTTTTGCTATGTCCTTCATGATTAATGTCCTTATTGCAACCTATTAGACGTACGTTTTCATCAGTTCTGCTTCATCAAAATTTCTGTTTTTTTCTTTTTCTTCATATGAAGCATATCATACAAAATAAAATATTACTTCTAATTTCAACTCTTGTTGACGTTGACCATTAGATCGATTTAATTCTTGTTGATTATTATAAGCTTCACGAAGTCCATTTGATAATTGTTCAATATCGGCTTTTAATTTTTGTACCAGTGCATCTGTTCTAGAAAATTTAGCTTGTAGATCCATATTTAATTGACGAAGTTGCTCATCTTGTGTTTTTTGATTAGCATCTAATTTAGTTAATGCTGATTCACGCAACGATATTTGATTAGCTACTGATTCTATATCATTATTTAATTTTTTACAAACAGCTGATAAGATTTGCACTTGATCCATCAATATTTCAAATTAGATGAATTCTCTTAATAAAAGTAATCAATTATTAATCGCTGTCTTTCATAGCAATTAAGTTCCTATGCAACAGCCTTATTGAGTTGTTGTTAAAAATATCTCTTTTACCCAAAGATGGCGCTGAAATATGTTTGAACAATGTATGACTTTTTTTTTTACTGTTAAAAATTAGAAATCTTATCTTGAAAAATACGTTCACATACATGTTCAAAGAAAAAAAAAGAGAAAATAAATGACAATAAAGAACTTGAAAAAGCATTAACCGACACAATAAAAGTTCACAACATAGAAAAAGAATAAGAACAAAAAAACCTAAAGGTTTTTTTTTTTGTTTTTGATTTCTTGAATATGTCATATGTATTGTTAAGATATTCATAGATGATATGAAAGTTCTTATCAAAATGACACATTATCGATATTCACGAATGATGAGAATAATATTCCAAAAGAAAGGAAGACTAAAGTGACAGTCAATTAAAAGAAAATCCCTGTTCACACGAACATTGACATACACCACTCAAGGCACATTGACATTGACCGGTAGCAGGCAAACAAAAACAAGAGAGAAAAAAAATGAACATTCAGTTATCAAAATAAACATTCGAAAACAAAAAGAGAAAAAAGAACGTTTTTTTGGATATTCATTCTCTGTTTAAAGTTCTTGTTTTGTGTATCAACACGAAACGTTCACAAGTAAAATGTATGCGTGAAGGAAAACAAAAAAAAATTCATGATTGACAATTATTGCTATTGAGATATCTGAGACTCTCGCTCACATTATGATGAATTAAATTGCTCTGGTTTTAGTTTATGCCACATTTCAGTCCATTGGTCTGGTGATTTAACCATTAATAACCAATGTCTTAATTCATCGCCTGATGATGATTGACCTAATTCAAATCCACCTAAAACAAAACGTATATAATATAAGTAATTCAACAAAAAATAAAAAAACATGATATTTCTTATTACAAAACAACAAAAACTTATTTAGGAAGGAAACAATCAATGTCAATCATTGACCTTGAAAACGGAAATAGTTTTCATAATTCGAATTCTTATTTGTGTTTAGGTCAACACCAATTGAAGAAATAATTTTGTCTATTTTGTTAGAAGTTTTTATTAATAATAATCATCGTTAATCATTAATTTAAAAAAAAAAAAAGAAAAATGAAGCTTCTTACATAGGTTTTTTTAAGATATAATCAACGAATTTTCTTTTTTGTCAGGAAAAGAAAAGATTGTACTTATTAATTCCTGTCTACTGATTATACTTGTAAAAGTTGATTAAGTTCATTAATCTTCTAACTAATATCAATGATTGAAATTTATTATCTGACAAGTAAAAATAATCTGACCAAATATTTACCAATATAATCATCTTTTTTTCCCACATCTTTATCATAAACTGTTATTTGTAATGTTTTACTAATCAATTCTTGTAATTGTATATGTGGAAAAATGAATTCTTCATTAAATTCTGGTTGTAATGTATGTTTTTTAACTGTTGTTTTGAAATTCCATTTTGTATTTATATCAGTTGAAGGATATAATAATAATTTACAATATGGATCTGATGTTTGACCAAAATCCATGGGTAATAATTGACTACCACGTAGAATTCTTACATGAAAATTACATGTTAATTTTGAATATAATAGACTAAGAAGAATTTTTCCACGTTCATTTTTATCCTCATCCATAGTTAACTAAAAAACCAATATGATCATCGAATAAAAAAAAACAAAGCTGTTCATTTAACAAAAGACAAGTAAGCATATTAAGACCAAATTAATAAAAGCAACACAAAACAAAGAGCAAATCAATAAAACAACAGAATTTATTTAATTACTTCAACATCCTAAAAAATAATTAAAAATTAAATGTAAGTATATAATACATTAGTGAAAGAAGATATAAGCAAAAATTGTTTTATTTTATTTTTACTTACTTCTGTTTTATTTTGTAAATAAACAGAATAAACTTCTTTTACATCAGGTCGAATTTTTGATAATTTTAAACGATATTCACCAAGAAAATCTGCACCAACGGAATCTTCATCAAGAACAGATAATCTTTAATAAAGAAATAAATATTTGAAATTTAATAAAAATATTAAGTTCTTTTTTTGTTTTTTATCTTACTTGAGCCATTTATTTTTCATATCATCAGACGATATTCCATGGTAAACAAGAGTTTCATCAAAATCTGGATTTAATGTTCGACGAATTGTATGACTGCGCAATTTAGTTGCCTAAAAAAAAATATAGTATAATAGCAATAAATATTGTTATTATTATGCTTATTATATTCATAAGTACTTTAGCGACACCGGGTACAAGATGTAATTTAACATAAGGATCTGAAAGTCCATTTAAATCAGCCGAACGTAGATTACGGGCTCGTATTAATGTTATTGTTAAAATATTAAACGCTTCTCTCCATATAATATCGAAATCAAGTACACCTAATCCTTAAGAAACAAAATAATTTTTCATTAAAAATATTTTTTAAAAGAAATAAAATTCAACAAACCACAGTCATCAACTGATGATGATGTAGTTAAAATAGAAGATGATAATTGACGAATATTTGTTGGAAATGATGTTGCATTAGATATCATTGATGGAACAGGTGATGACGATGTTGATGATATTGGTGGTTGTGATGATGCACGTCCTTGAGATTTTGAAATGTAGTCATCAATAGAATACTCTAAATATATATATTTATTTATAATTTAATTTTCATTATGAATAATGATTACCTTTTAAACTTCGTTCATCAGTTTTAAATGAATCAATACTTTCATCACGATCTTGTTCAGCTATAGAATGTGTATTATCATAATTTTGTTGATATGAATTTCTATTCGCATAATGATTATTTGTCCCTATTAAAAATTTCATAAATTATTAAATCAATCTTTATTTGTTTATTTTTATTTGAAAAATAATTCTAACCTATACTCGGTGAAGGTCGTCGATTAAATCGACTACTATTACTTTGCCGATCATCAGAACTTGAATCATCATCAATTGATATACTATCACTTTTTGTAGTGACTGACGATATCGCTGATGAGGACGGTTTTACACTTGAAGGTAAAGTTGAACGCGATGGTAAGGCACGAAAAAACCAAGCACCTGATTTTTTCCATAACTTAAAAAAAGAAATTTTACAAAATTTAGTTTACATACAAAAAAAAAATACAAAAATTACTTCACGATTTTCACTACATATTTTACATAATGATATAACTTGTTGATTATAAACAGTTTCTATAGAACATTTATTGCACACAGACTAAAAAACAAAAACAAAAAGAAATGAATATTAATAATGATAAGCAAAACAAAAGATTCTTTTACTTTATGACAATCAACACAGCAAACAGATGATGCACCTAACATACCAAATCCATCAGCACATAAAACACATTGAGATGAACCATTTCCAGTTGCATGTTTTTTCATATTATCAAGACGATCAATCAGTTTACTAGAAAACAAAATTTCAACGATTCATTGAACGAAAGTGTTTTGTTTATAATCATACCCGACACGTTCTTGTTCAATAAGTTCAATACGTTGAGCGCGTTCAAGAACTTTTTTAATTCTTTCCAATTCTTCATCGCGTAATGATTGATTACCATTTGTTGCAGCATTTGTTGCAGCAGCAGCAGCACTGCCAAAACGATTTGTTGGTGTTGCACTAGCACTACGTGTTGGTGTACGACCCGTATGAAATGACCATCCAGAATTAAGTCTAAAAAAAAAATAACATATAATATATTTATTTATTTATTTATTTATTTATTTATTTTTTCTTTTTTTTTTTTTTTTTTTGTTTTGTTTTGTTTTTATTTTACTTTGCTCGAAGTTGTAATTGACGATCATTTGGACATACAAATGATCCGTTACCGACGTCCTTCATTTAGAAAATTTTGTTAATCATTTATCCATAAATATAAGCAAGAGTTTGTTTTTCATATATTTATAAGTATTAACATCGCAGGTATCTTAAATAAGAATGACAGAAAATATTAAAGACTAACAAAATGGTTAGCAGGAAAAAAAAGAATAATTTTGTAGCGCTACTATCTATATTAAAAAAACGTTGATATAAGTGACAAATGACTGGTATGTGTGAAAGAGGAAAAAATATAATATATAATAAAGAAAATCCGACTGTTTGTCGCATTGAATAGAAAGGAAAGAAAAATGAGATTGAGACCTTATTGACAATAAACGCATTTATATTCGACTTATCAAGATACTTGCTCTTTTAATTTATAGAACCAATTTTTTTTTATCGATAAAACTAGTTGTTTCTCCAGGTTCTCAAATGACGAGGGTCGACAATATGGAATATAAAAAAAAAACAAAAAAACATATATCGTTTCGATATATTTTTTTTTAATTATACAAGCAACATTTTTTAGACTACACGCACATATTTGCTCATTACTTCATATTATCCGGCGGCGTATCGAATTTGCATGTTACATAGAATCATGCATCTTAGCTAGATAGAGAATTACGACCATTTTTCTGCTTCTATGCGTGATTACTGCACTTATAATGAGACCAAAAATAAAAAAAAATATTCATCAATTGATACTAGTCTATATTACTAATCAGTCGACCTTGCCAATTTTTATGACTTAAGAAGAATAAAAAGAGACAACAAAAAAAAAGAGGAAAACAATATCCAGGGTAAACTTCAAAGATTGATTAGTAACAAAGTCAACTATGTGTAAGTGCCTATATGCCCGATTCTCGAAATAAATCCACAATTACTATCTTTCTTTTTTTTTTTGTTTTCTGTTCATCATTGCAATAATACAATAAGACCACTTGAGATTTTGCAATGTTGACTACTGCTATTACTACGGGCTGGTAGAGGAAGATACAATTCCCACATTGCATGTCTCAAATTAGAGACGTAATCAAACAAGCAACAAAGCCTTCTTCCATCCACGACAGCAATAGTTGGCGACGGAAACACACACACACACATATATATATATATGCATTATACCGTTCGAACATTACGGGAAATGAACGACGGTACGTGGCACACTACAAGATGTTCAACGCTCAATAGAAAAAAACAAGAACATTCGTTAGAAAACGCATTTAAGCGTATATCCTCATCTATAAGAAAAATGTCAGAGGAAAAAAAAGAAAAAGATTATCGAAAAGAATATGGAGGAAAAAAAAGAAATACGAAGAAGAATACTTCTCTTTTTACCTTCATCATATAAAGCATACATAAAGTAGGTGTATTAGAAGAAAAGTCGTAGACCTATTTTTTTTTCTACGAAGATCTAATTAGAAAAGGGTGACGAATGATGCTAGAACGGACGTATGCATACGTCCGCGCTAATTCAAGTGGCGGGTGAACTACTGCTATTTTCCTGCCAGCATGTGTTGAAGTGTGTCTATTAGCCTGCGGGGTGAAAACTACTACCGCTTCTTCTCGTTTGTTCTAGTAACTCAAACGATAGGGAAAACATCATCAACAGTAACGCATGCAATAATAGTAGTTGCAACATTGATGAAAACAATCTTCAGGATAAAAGTTCTCTTCCATATCTGACGAGTTCGACTACTTTTCCCGACTACTTACACACACACATACATACACACTCTTTCTCTTTTGTCCCCAATAGACAAAGAAATAACAGCGTACAACAATAGAATGAAAGAATAGAACCTTGTTTCTGTTCTTTTCCACATAGTTCTCTCGTTTCTTATTTCTCCTTTGTGTTGTAAGTATGCGACAATTATAGAAAAATTGAATACATGCAATGATGCTGATTGTATGTGATGATGAATAAGAAATATGTTTGTCGTTTGATATAAATTTCTGACAGCGAATATATAAATTACTATGATTATCATCATGATTTTTACAAGTTAATGATGATGATAATGATCATTTGGATGATATACTTTTCTCTATTCATGTTTCAATCTTCCTATCCTTTTCTCTCTCTCTCTCTCTCGATCTATCTTCCTCACCATCGGCATGCAATTTGAAATAGCGTTAACAAGAACAGCGATCGATTAATATTAAAAAAAAAGCATGACACGAGAGACTGTATTTATGTCTTTTAGTTATCATGGTTTCTTTTTTTTTTCTTTTGCTTTGTTGCATGTTTATAACGATGATTATTATCGAGCGTCCGAAAAATGACGTCTATGAGCCATATTCAACATCGAGGTTGTTTCATTGCCTTTTCACATGCTGACAAACGCATACCATGAAACTGTCAACATTTTCAGATAACATTGTATCTCGGTATGAATATTCTTAGATACTGACATCAATCTATAGGGTTATTAATATGATGAATAATGTTCTATTCATAAGTTTGAAACATTAGCAAAAAAAGTAAGGAAAATTAGAGTGAGAAAAAGAAAAGGTTTGAATCAATAATTTAATTTATTGTTAGGACATGACTGTTGTTTTTCTTTTGACACATTTTAAAAAGCTCATGTTAATGTGCAGATGATGAAATCATAGGAAAAAAACAAAGACAAGCATGTTTTCAACATCATAAGCGGGATATTTCTTGCCGAGACGACTAATTGCTCGGAAGAATACAACGACATTCTATTCTAAATTTCTTTATATATGTAAGACACGAATGCACACATTAGAGTTAGACATAGAGTACTTCATATAGATCATGTTTTATCATCATCGACCGATCTAATGTATTAGTCTAATAGAAAACAAGCACACTTACTTTAGACCAGTCTATCCTAGTCGACTTCATAGTAATGACAGTTTTCTTTTTTTAGAAATTTCAATAGGGAAAAGAAAAATTTTAGATCATTTTTTTTTCTTTTTTTTCTCTATTAAATTATGTCAAAGTCAATTGATCCTATTCCGGTTCTAACATATTCTCATTTTTTCTAAGTGTCTTCGGCAAGTTAATTATCTTCAATTATTATTAGTTGATATAACATCAAGCGAACGAGTATTAACATCATTTTGTTCATAAAAAAACAAAAATATGTATATATATATATTTATATACACGATAATCATAATGAATGAATAATTTCATAAATATAATTCATTGTCATATTTATCCTATTTTAAAAGTTCGTTGATTATTCATCATCATGCGATCAGTAAATACAATGATAAAGTTGATTTATTTATAGAAGAAAAAAGAAAGAATCACAATTGTATTAGGAATTATCTATTAATGAATATTTTAAAATTAAGCAATATTTTTTCAAGAAAAACTAGCTTTTAGCTTTTTGCTTATTTTTTTTTTGTTTTTGATTCTAAACGAGGTTAATATCAATTAACGATTATATTCAAATTCACAATAACTTGGACCATTTACTGGAGCAGCTGGAATTCCACGTCTTAAATATCGACAACGATGTTCTTCAAGTCGAGATGTTGCTGCATTAGGATCAGTTACATTAGCTGCAGACCATAAACGTTCAGCGACAGCTGCAGCTCTAGGCCATGTTGTTGAAATAACATTTGTTGCATCAATAAATTCTAAATAATTAAAAAAGAAGAGATACGTGATAATTCATTTCTTTTTTATATAACTTACCACCCCACATGCAAGCTTCACCACCAACAACTAGTTTCTTTTGAGCATCAGTACCTACACAAAAAAAAAATATTTCTAAATATTTTAAAATAAAACCTTACCAGGAAAATTTTGTGGATCACATTTATAATAATTAACCCAATCTCTACCATAGGAAATATAATTTAAATACCTAGAATGATAAAAAAAAATTTTTCTTAAATCAAATCATATGCATTTTATTCTCATACCAGCATGTTGATAAAAGAGTACGATAACCTAATTTCGTAACACGTGCTAATTCATCTGGATATGGATCCTAAAAAAAGACAAAAAATAAAATAATAATTCTCTTTCTGATCAATTCATGAATTTCTATATAACCTTCCAAACTTCAACAACAGTATCAGCTTTTACTGTTACATTATTATCAATAATTTCTTGCCATACGGCATAACCTTTGCCTGTCGAAGCAACAATATTGACTAAACTATAAATGAATAAAAATCATATTTTCTTGTCGAAGTTTTTCTCGTTTATTAAATTTGATGTACTTTTGCATATAGTATTGTTCAAGTAATGAATAATCATTTCCGAATCCCATTTGACGCATGAAAGCGGTAACATTTGGATTACTTCGCCTGTGAATCAATAGATTCATTTTTTTTTCTAATTTTTAAATGCAATAAAATTCTTACCAACAATCAAAATTAACTTCATCACCACCCAAATGAACATAATGATCAGGAAAAACATTTGCAACTTCACTAAACATTTTTTTTAAGAAATCAAATGTTGAATTTCGACTTGGATCCATTGGTCCATATTCATTATTTGGTTTTCCTCCATCATAACAATGTGTTAAAACATCAATAACTCGTCCCCATGATTGAGTATGACCTAATCGTAGAAAACTAATTTTAGTTTTGTTTTTTCATAATTTTTTTTTTAAAGTTTTGAGACCTGGTGAATCGAATTCAACAATCACACGAATACCACGTTGACGTGCAAATTCAATAAGATCAGCAATATCATCTTGCGAATAAACATGTTCTTGATTATATGCACCGGCACCACTTAAATCAGGAAATGTGCGTGATTCATACGGAAATGATTGATCATCAACAATATGAAAATGAAATACATTCATTTTGCTATTTGCCATAGCTTCCTAAAATTAAACGAAAAAAAAACAAAGATTTTGATTTGAAAAAATAATCAATCAATTTTTTTTGTACCAAATTCATTTTTAATGTTTTTATTGAAATAAAATGACGTGATGTATCAAGAAGTAAACCTCGATGTTGAAAACGAGGAAAATCATTGATTACCGTTTGATTAATAGCTAACTAGAATTAATATA